GCATTATGTCTGAGCATGGCATCACACCCTAGAGAATGGGCTCCAACAATCTAGCTCATGTATAAGGTTTTTATCATGGTCCTACTGCCAGGAGCTCCTCTGATAGTTTAAGCTTCACAACTGTCTCTCACATACAGAGGGGCCTAGTTTGGGTTCCCTGAAGTCTCCATAGCTGTCAGTCTAGAGTACAGGAGTTTCCAAGAGCTTGGGTCAGCTATCTCTGTAGATTTCTCTGTCATGATCTTGTCCTCCCTTGTTTATATATTTCCTCCTCCCTCTTTTTGACTGTATTCCTGGAGGTAGGCCTGGATCTTGGTTCTGGATTTCAGCATCTGGTTTTATTAATTACTGGGTGAAGGCTCTATGATGACAGTTGGGGTATTCACCAATTTGAATACAGGGGTCGGCCTGTTTAGTCACCCTCTCCACTATTGCTAAGAATCTTAGCTGGGTTCATCCTTGTGGATTCTTGGGGATATCCCTAGCATCAGGTTTCTCCCTAACCCCATAGTGACTCTCTATTAAGATATATCTTTCTCTTTTTTATAATCATCTTTTCTGTTTTTTTCTCCATTTTTTATTTGAATTAGAAACAAGATTGTTTTACATGTCAATACAGTTCCTTCTCCCTCCCCGCCTCCCCTGCCCCACCAATTAACACCCTACCTATCCCATCCCCTTTCTACTCCCCAGGGAGGTTAAGGCCTTCCATAGGGGGTTTTTAGAGTCTTTCATATCCTTTGGGATAGGGCTTAGGCCCTCCCCCATGTATCTAAGATGAGGGAGTATCCCTCTATGAGGAATGGGCTACAAAAGTCCATTCCTATGCTAGGGATAAGTACTGATCTACTACAAGAGGCCCCAGAGATTCCTGAGGACTCCTCACTGACACCCACATTCATGGGGTCTGGCTCAGTTCCATGCTGTTCTCCCAGATATCAGTCGGGGGTCCATGTGATCCCCCTTGTTCAGGCCAGCTGTTTCTGTGGGTTTCACCAGCCTGGTCTTGACCTCTTTGCTCATCACTCCTCCATCTCTACAACTGAGTCTCAAGAGTTCAGTGTAGTGTTTAGCTGCCTCTGTTTCCATCAGCCACTAGATGAAGGCTCTAGGATGGCATACAAGGTAGTCATAAGTCTCATTATAGGGAAAGGGCATTTAGGGTAGCCTCTCTACTATTGCTTAGATTGACAGTTGTAGTTCCCTAGAAATCTCTCTAGTGTCAGATCTCTCCTGAAAGCTATAATGGCTCCCTCTGTTACGGTATCTCTCATCTGATCTCCCCTGTTTGCTACAATGAACATTTTTGAACAAGTGTCCATATGGTATGAATGAGTTTCCTTTGGGTATGTGCCCAAGAGTGGTATTGACAGCCTACAAAATGGGAAAAGATCTTCACCAACCCCACATCTGACAAAGGGCTGATATCCAAAATATATAAAGAATTCAAGAAACTTGACATCAAAATACAAAATAACACAATCAAAAAATGGGGTAGAGAACTAAACAGAATTTCCACCAGAATAATCTCAGATGACCAAAAGAGATTTAAGGAAGTGCTCTAGACCCTTAATTATCAGGGAAATGCAAATCAAAATTATTCTGAGACACCATCTTACACCTGCCAAATTTGCCAAGATCAAAAATATTGATGACAGCTTATGTTGTAGAGAATATGTGGTCAGGGGAACACTTCTCCACTGCTCATGGTAGTGCTAACTTACACAGCCACCTGGAAAAACAGTATAGCAGCTTCTAAGAAAATTGGGAATAAATCTACCTCAAGACTCAGTGATACAACTCTTGAGCATATATCTATTTTCCTTTTAACACACATATATTCAATTTAGTGTATGGGTTTCCTGAATATGCTGAATGGGTCTCGGTTTTTTGTTACTTTTCTTGCTTTTTTCCTTCTGTGTGTTTTGTTTTATTCTGATGTGCTAGTTTTTGTTTTTAACTATTATATTTTATATTATTTTATTATCTCTTAGAAGCTTAAGCTTGTTTGTTTTCTAATGAGAAAAAAAGGGGGAGTGGAGGAGGGAAGGAACTGAGAGAAATAAAGTGAAAAAATCCATTTTTAACAAAAGAAAAATATTAAAAAGAAAGTAAAGTTTATATGGTGCATCATTTGATTCAATATTGGCCCAAACACTTTTGGCTTTGTGAGCTTGGACAGATCATTAAATCCTCACCATTGTCTTGGTTTCCTTTTCCACCAAATATAGCAATGCAGTATTGATTGGGGATCAGTTGATATGCAAGTCAAAAGTTCATGATATAGTATAGATAAAGATGTTCTTTGGGGGCTGGAGAGATGGCTCAGAGGTTAAGAACACTGACTGTTCTTCCAGAGGTCCTGAGTTCAATTCCCAGCATGGTGGCTGACAACCATCCGTTATGAGATCTGGTGCCCTCTTCTGGTATGCAGATATAGATGGAAGCAGAGTGTTGTATACATAATAAATAAATAAAATCTTAAAAAAATAGATGTTATTTGGGTATTTAGTTCTGCATATTTATTAATAAGATGAACATTATTCAGTCTTTTTAATCTCTTAATGTTGTTACTACATATGTAATTTGTTAACAGATTAGTTTTCTGTAAATCTTACTATGTTTTTCAAATACTTACTCCCTGACTCTGGTTAGAAATGGTCTATAAAAAAATCCTTTTAAAATTCCAAATTTGTCCTATGACATATTTTAAAAGACTGGCAGTATCACATAATCACAGACCATCCAAAGATAATAATCTCCTTAAATTTAAAATGTTTATATTCTATGTACAGAGGCCACATTCAATCCTATTACCTTAAAACCCAAAGGTAAAGAAAATGTTATTTGCAAGGTATTAGATTATGAGTTACTAGAGAGAATTTTCTATGAATAGACCACACCAGTAGAAAAGTGTTGCTCTCACCATACTCCTTAAAACAAGTGGAGAGATGCTTTGCCTCTTCAATGTCTTCACCTAACACTTCCATTTTCCAATAACAGTTGAAGTACAATTCAGTTATTGAATTTTTGCCCCCATAAATTCTCTAGTGCAGTGGTAAGTATTTAAACGATACTTAGTAAATATTTTCAGGTGAGCGAGAATTGGTTTGACTATTTAAGAATAATAATAAAACTTAACACAAGAATAGAAATTTTGTAAAACAAAGTTTATCATCTTATTGGAACTGATCTGTACATATCTAAGTTTAATTACTTGATGCTTAGACAAGTGGTCTTACTTTTAGTTTATGTGTCATTCAAAATTAAGTGGTTTGGGTTGAAAAAATTACTAGCTTCATGAGTAAAATGTTTCCACACATTATCTTATGTTTAATCAGACAAAACAAAGGCATTTTTTAAAAATAACCTCTTACTCTCAACAATTAATGCCAAAATAATTTGAAAATGTATCTATTTCAACCATGTCTAGATCTAGGCTGTCTTGACTACTATATTTGTTTAATTTTTTTGTGGTTTGGTGTCGAAATTGGGTAGGGCTTCTGCATTGGATTTACCCATTTATCTTACTAAGTGAAGGCTACATATTATCAGAGTTCAATAGGCCTCTACTAGAGACCTATGCCATAGGTACACAAACCACACAGATGCCTAAGGTACACATGATTCAATACATAATCAATTCAGATAAGAGCAGGAAATTGAGTGTTTTTACAATTTCAAAAAGGAGGGGCATTTTAAGCAAATATAAAAATGTATAGGTGCAATTTGATCTAGTAATCAGAGCATAATAAGATACACTTAAGAAAAATATAACAGCATGAAAAATACCCCTGGTGAAGAAGGCTTCAGAAAAACAGGCATCTGCCAGTTAGTTGTGCCATTAGGTCCACTGATGGCTTAAGTCTAATGGGGACAACTGTAAAACTTGTCAGGTCTCATGTGATGTAACACCTATTGTGTCCTCTCTGGACTCTGAAATGCATTCTCCATAACAATAAGAAAGGGAGAGATTTAATTCAAATTCAAAAGCTTTGTTCCTTGCTAATCAATTCCACTCTATCAGAGTGGATGGCATATTGACTGACACAGTGACTTCATTCTGGATTTCATATTACAAGAAAAGAAGCGACATAAAAATAGCTGTTAGACATGCAAGGCTGATGTCTGAAAGAGTAAAAGTTTCACTGTTTTCATCCAAACACTCTGGGAAAGTGACTCATTTCTACTAATGTCTTTTATATTTTTTTAAAAGAGAAAGGCTATCCAATTGTACTAGTTATTATTCTTTATGACTGTTAGACTACCACACTATAACAATATGACATATTTCCTCAAAATATTTGCACACGTTCTTATATCTCCCACTGGGTCTGGAAATCACTGTGCCTTGTAGAAATTCACAATTTTTAACCAAATGCCAGTTCCTTCCCTGAATATGTTCATTACTGTGCCAGCCACTTAAACTGCATGTATTCGTCATCGATGACAACTTCTCCTCCATCCATACATTTGGTAATCACTGAGTTTTACTCTCTCATTACCTACTTAACTGCTCTTCTTCATTGGCACTGAAATCAGTGCAGACTTGCTATATGCAGCCTTCTGATTTACCTGTCGACTGTTAATTCCCTTCTCTTGAGGCTGTTCCAAGTGTGACCCCACACTAATCTTTCTAAAGACTTGACTTAACAGCCTCACCTTCTACTTAAAACTCTTCAGTGGCTGTTATTATACTTTATCAAGCACTGAAGAACCCAAATTATCTTTGTAACCTCACCATTTTCCATAAGTTGCCTATGTGAACTTTATAATCTGATTAATGACCTCATCCATTTTTCCCACGACTCCTAAAAGACGTGGAAGGTGAACTCAATGAAAGTCAGTAGTTGGAGGCAAATTAAGAAAGGTTTCTAACTGACCCAGGATTTGAATTGGGAAATTATAATGGACACCTTTCCCAGTACACTTGGATGCTACTACTAAATAGAACTAATATTAAATAATACTATATAATATTCATGTGGGTTTTTGAAAATCAGATAAAAGGAACAAAAGGATGATGAAGAAGCCAGCAATAAACCATGGAAGAAAAGAATACTTCACGAAACTCCATCCACTGACTCACTGGTCACTCTCAAACTTCAACGTAAGTTTATACACTTATCAATGCAGTCTTGACAGAGAAGTTGAAGAATGAAACTTCTAATTATTGGTTGTGTCACTATCACTATACTCTGTAACAGTTGTTCAATGAAAGCAGGTATTTTTGAGGTTTGGAAAAAGAGGTCAACACAATGAGCTGAATTAATCACCACAGGTTTTTGATATGGGCTATGAACTGCTTGTAGGTTTCTTATATACTTTTCTTCCGTTTATCTGTCATGCTGTTCCTTCAGCTCCCTTCACTGACCTGATGTTCTTATTGTACAAAACTTGTCTCTAGCTACTTCTTATGTAACTTTTAGCTCCATGCCAATGCTCATAGTCTTAAACGATATTAAACTGTTTCTTGTGTCCCTCATTCAAGTCTTGCATGTGGTGGGTTATACATACATGACATCTCTCATCTTCAGTTCTGCATCAAGGCTTCTACTCTTGCCCTTCACATTCTTTCCCCTAGATGCTTATCTTTCATCCTTATAACACTGGGTAACAGACTTGGGACTTTTTCTTTTCTTACTCATGTAATTTGTCATCTCTGTAATATTGACTAATGGATAATTTATTGTTATTTCTAAAATATATTCACTCCTTGTATATTTATTATATGTTAAATATTCTTCTCATGTACATATATTTTGAAGCAAAACTAAAAATATATCCTTGCAATTCTGGCATTGACAAATATCCAACATATTGGTGGATATGTGAGATGGAGCCTTCTGAATTCTAACTCAACATAAATATCAAGAATCTTAATTTCCTTTCAATTATTATAATTTTATGAACATTATGCTCATATATACACTTGTTTTACTTTTCATCACATATTATTTAATTGATATTACCTTTAATGGAATGCAGACATGGATAAAAGCCCCCTACTCCCTCTTTTGCATCTAGCATGCTGGAGAATATTTTTTCTTCCATTTGAATGTACTCCATCATACCAAGTCAGAGTTATATAAATTAACAATAGATATAACCATATCTATTATATACTTTCTTCTACTTGAAATGGCCCCATCATGCAAAGTCTAGATTAGAACTGTGTGAGCTTGGCCTAAAACAAGAAATGAAACTCAATTGTATGATTTCTATGTATTTAAGATTTAACAGCTTTCTGTCTGGGGGTTTCTCAACAGGGTTTCTGAACAGTCTGGTCTAGTATTTCATTCTGTGGTGTGTGACTAATTTTAACTTCTGTAAACCTAACTGTTAAGTATGCTACAAGTGTCTTTATACTTATCCCAAGTTTCTTTGTTTCAGTTGTTTTCCACACATTCTAAAATTACTTTCCCTTTAACTGTTATATATTATCCAAATGGTTGATTATGAAAATTGACTTGGATATTCTCTGAAAGAAAGCTAAAATGAGTGGGCTGGAACCGTTTTCTATTATCAGTTAGTTGAAGTCTATGAATAAGTCTTCACCATGTACTAGTCTCAAGACCACACTGTGTTTGTCTATGTGAAGTGTACAGTTTCAACCTTAGTTAGAAGACTGAATCTTTACCAGTGAAACTCTGGTTCTGCTTCCTGACTGCTATGGAAAACATCGTGTAGTATTATGAAGCAGCTATACAATGGGTGTTACCATTATGCCTTTTTTCTCATAGTGCAAGAATAAAGAAATGATGACATGTACCACCATCCTAACCCCTACTGCTTACCCTCAAATATGCTTTTTTAATGTTCATCAATTATATAAATACAGATTTTGAAAGGCAATAGTAAAGTTTGTTTCTCTCCCTAATTGAAGTTAACAATGATCAAGAATCCCAAATGTTTAAAAGGGAAAAAAAGAAAGAAAGAAAACTCAATTTACTACTGACTTTTCCCTGAGTAGCTTGAAATTTAGGCAATTCAACACATCACAGACTGTCCAGGTGCAACAGAGTTCCTAGGCCTAAACTTGTTAAGATCTTTCCAAGTAGCCTATGTATAGTTATCAATGAATCACAGATTCCCAGACTGAGTTATATGCTCTGGAAATATAAGTTTCTCTTATTTATTACAAAATTTTATTTTTGGTATCGTAGTCAAGTCTATTTAATTAGTAGTTCAAAATCTATCAGTACATAAGCAAAGTCTATCTGTACATGTTACATATGCTGGAAAGTTATCTCTCTTCTTTGTATCACAGCCATAGAATTCCATATAGAGCTATAGATTAAATATCATATTGGAAAATATATGAAAAGAAAAGCTGTAGCGTGTATGCCAGCATGTTTCATGGTGTCATCATGCCTCCAATAAGCACAACTTATTGTTTTGAGGTATCAAAAATCACCAAGTTTATGTTACTAGAGGTCAATTGTAACAAAGCAAGTCAAGTGTTGGAAAAATGTTCTGAACCCTTCATGATATTCATGATGTCATGACATAAGTGCTTATGTCAAATGTTAATACAGGGGAAAAATCATAGGACTTGCCCCAGGTATTTTAGCCAGCATTCTGGCCTGAATATATAAATCAATTTCCTAGGTTGCGACAGTCACTCACTGGGGATAATTTGCAATTTGTGTTGAGTGTTTGCTATTGACTTTCACTATAGTATCTATAATATATGTATACTCAGAATATATCTAAGTAATAATAAGAATGATATTTGTATTTTTATTTATTTTAGACAGTGTCTCATTATGTACCCATAACTGAATTATTCTTATCTATGTAGACTAATCTGGCCTCAGACTCATAGACAGGCTTTTGCCTCTGCCTCACTAGTGCTAGGTGTGAGTGACCAAACCATGGAAAGAATGTGATTCTTATTAACCACCATATAACTAGTGAAAAACTATGACTAAGAAATGTACACTCAGGCACATTCAGCATATCCTGAATGTTGTTATTGGAACTACCCCTTGTGACAGTGTGACAGACAGCAGAATTACATATCTTCCTTCAAGGACCTGCTGGGAAAGGTGTTACTGATTTGTAATGCCAAGTACCTGTGAGGGTTTCTACTCTTTAATCCTTTTCCACCTATTTTGGTAAGCTTAAGTTTCTTGGCTGTTGTCATGGTGAAGATTTTTCACTCTTTAACTAAGGAGACTAATTTTCAAAATATCCATCAGAGACTGTTAATTTACATTTGAGAAACACACAGTATGGTTGAATGCACAAATGGTTTCTTGATTGATTCTCACTGAAATGCTGAGATCTTTAAATACAGATGCCTGGGTTTTGTTATCTAATGTTTCTTAAATATTGCAAGAATCTGAAGACCTGGATGACTGCTCTGTGATATTTTTTTCTGAACAGCAGATGGATGTCACACGTATGAATTCTCAACAATATGACTGCCTACGAAGATCATACCAGGTGAAATGCCAACATGGTTGGAATAAATTCCACAGGGCACCATCCTTAAAGGAAGAATTGCAGTAAATGGCTGCTCTGGGAGGGAGAACAAGTTGTTGTTCATTTGTTTTGTTGGCTTTATTTTTCTGGGAAAACTTCAGTTATGAGTTATCAGCTCCGATCACATGTAAATAAGGGCAGTGCTAGTTGGACTTAGTGGGTTCTATGTTTGTGTGTGCATATGTATATGTTTATAACAGAACTAAATATTAAAAAGGTGTTGTGAATTTGAGGGGAGGTGAGGGCAGAAACCAGAGAAGTGAATTTGGGAGAGGTGGCAGAACTGATGTAAAGTAGTGTACTTATGCATGAACTTCTCAAATAATAAAATGTGCAATTATCATCTTGATGGTAGATCACACAATGACCTTTGATGAAGTTGGATGTATGTAGAGACTGTCATGACAGCAGGAGACTGCCCATCTGATATTCTCAGCAAAGAATTTCCTAGAGGAAAGCTATCAATCCTAGAGACCACAAAGGCGCCTTCAGTAAGCTCCCATTCAGCAGTTCAAACCTGAAATGAAGACAATGAAGGAAGACTGCAGGGATTAAGGAAACTTGGCAGACACGAGGACAGGTGCAGACAAAATCCAGCCTTCCTACAGATGGTAGGGATTTGGAATTTTGTTCTATTTTAATGTAATGAGGGATTTTCAAGCCAATGTTAATATTTTCAAGATACGTGGCCTAATATACCCTTAAATCATATGCTTGGTAGTTAAGCAGAGATGAGACATTGGAAATAAATATGTTCAATGGATATACTAAGGAAGGCAAGAAACAGGAAAGCCCATATTTGGCCATATGTGCATGTTTTTGCAAATGTGAGTGACATTTCTCCACTCCCAACATTTCATTGTGAACAGAAGGCCCTGTTTTTGTTGCTCTGTGTGTGTGTGTGTGTGTGTGTGTGTGTGTGTGTGTGTGTGTGTGTGTGTGTGTGTGTTTGTGTTGGATCTAAATTACAGCTAATCCAGTTTCTATGACAATGATAACAGGTCAGTTTCCTATAGCAACCTCCATGAAAGTTATGGGACCATGATCTACAGTCTGGTGCTGTTTGAAGAAACAGAGAGTTCATTATCCATGTTGTTGCTCTTTCTAAACCAAGTATGCAGGGTAATGAGGAGTTATTAAGAAGCCAAATGTTATCCCTTTGTTCTGCTTGACTAGGGTAAATTTTACAAAATGAACTTAAGTTTTGTAATTTATTCTTTCCTGGTGTTGAAGAAAATAAGTCTACATTTTAGAAGTATATTTGACTTGTTTGGTTGTGATAGCTCTTTGTCCCTTTATTCCTGACTTCAACTCTATGTCTCAATCATGGGTTCACTGACAGGAATGTAGACATCACAGTAGTCTTACAATGCTTCAACCTCATGGCGTTGAAAAGGGATCTGTATTCAGTAGGAACAATACTTCAAATTTTGAATTTTGGTCATTTTAACAAGTTGTATGAGCTATTTGGTATATCATAGTATGACATGATGGTTTTGATTGGGTGGTTTTGTACAGCTAAGGCAAATGTTCCTAGCACACTTAGGGTTAAACTGCTTTGTTTACTAAATTAAGAGTACCAGATGTTTTATGATTGTGTGATATTGACAAATAAGGGGGCGTTAGGATGTAACTATATTATAGGGCCATCTGATTTTTTTTGTTATTGTTGTTGTTGTGTGTTTTGACCATAGCCACTTAAAATGGGGTTTTTATTTCTTGTTGTGGAACAATTTGCAAAAGAAATAATCAAGTTAGACCAATAGATATCAAAGAAAACCCAATGTCTCCTTCAAGGCAACAGGCAATAGCAAGACGTATCTGGGTGACAATTAATTGTGTCTAAGGAGGAGTGAGGTTGTTCTTCCCTGACGGGTGATGATTAACTCCCCAGCTATTAATCATCTAATTGGGAAAATTGATTAACTACCAGCTTCTCAGCATTTCAAATTAGCTTTACTGCCCCACACCTTTTCTAAGCTATGTAACTGGTCAAATCATATTAGAACTTTGATTAGATTTACAATAAGCTGACCAGTCTTCAACATGATAACTCTTTCAAAATGACCAGGAATGCAATTTCACACAAATTTTGAAAAGAGAATGAACGCAAACAGTAAACAGATGAGGCTAACAGGATTGGTACAATCATGTTGGGAACATTAGAAGGGCTACAAATGTGCAAAAAAAAATGCCCTTGGTTTTGTTAGATAAGTATGGAGATAGATACATAGAAAAGAGAATTCTATAATTATTTAATACACATCGGCTAGAAAGATATATAACTATAAATGGTGTATCTATGACTATGCATCCATGCTAATGACTGTTCAATGCAGGTTGTATTAATACCTTGCCATCAGCTGCCACATTACAAACATGCATTTCTTTTCTCTGAGGTACCACTTCTATCATGGCACCCATGGCATTGCACCCATTGTTGCAAAAGCCCAAAGCTGACCTCTGTATAGATTGCTATTCTTAAGTGAAGGCTCCCATGATGATTTCATTACTCCAAATCCACTGTTTGATTGTCTACATTTGAATTCAAAATACAGTATTCCCACATTTACTACGTGTGTGCGTGCTTATGAATCTATGATTTAGTGGCAATGAGTTACCCAGTGAAGAGCCCTTATGGTTAACATATCTGCTGTGTTGAGTGTTTACAGCATCAGGAAGAGGAATCATATGTTTCTTTCTCAAGAATAGAAAGAACATCATCCCTGACCCTATCTGATCAGCATCAGAGACATAAACTGAATAGTGACTGTTGGAAGGGATTTTTCATCTTCTTTAGGGAGTTTTCAATATAGATGGATAGACCTGTGGCATGGAGTAGGTATCACTATCAATTTCTGACTAGGGTTTAAGAAATCAAGGTTGCAGTCGTGTGTATCCAATGTATTTCTATCCAGAATGGTAACCTGGTTCTTTTAGAACAGCCTGTCCTTTGTCATGCTGCCAAAAAGGTTTGAAAAGCTAGCTTCTGCTCATAGTGAGTCAAGTCTTTTCTAGAACCTGGTCATATTAGGTGTTTTATTTAAGGTCTCCTGAGACTGTCAAAAAGAAGAGAAAAGTATGTAATTCACAAAACAAATTGTATGAATGCTTTTTGTCCTGCTAACTAATAAATGTATTAATGTGGATGAGAATGAAGAATAAAACAATTTTGTTTTCTTCTTCATCTTTTGTGTTATAATTGAAAAATATTTACACCTATTAACAGTATAAGCATAGTATCCTCACGTGTGTGTATCCTGTGAAACGGTTACCAAGTTAAGCTAATAACGTGTCTGTTGCCATTATCTGTGTGTCTCTTTGAGAGAAAGTTATCTAACAGACAAACCTATGAAAAACTAATACATATCAATAAAAAACTGGTGTACAAGGTTTAGATTACACCAAGGGTTGCCTCTTACATATTTGTTAAAGGTAAAACTCAGGTTTTTTTTTTTCATTTCTCCTGACAAATAATTTATTGGTGCTGCATCCCACAGTTGATTTTTTTCTTTTTAAGGTTTTTTATTTTTGTTTTTTCCTTCTCTCCATTTTTAATTTACATTCCTCCCCTCCTCCCATGCCTCGCAACTAACACCCTACCTCTCCCATACCCTTTCTGCTCCCCAGAGATGGTGAGGCATTCGATAGGGGGTTTTAAGAATCTGTCATGTCTTTTGGGATAGGGCCTAGGCCCACCCCATTGCATCTAGGCTCATGGAGTATCCCTCTATGTGGAATGGGCTCCCAAAATCTATTCCTATGCTAGGTATTACTACTAATCTACTACAAGAGGCCCCATAGATTCCTGAGGCCTCCTCACTGACTTCCATGTTCAGGGGTTCTCAATCAGTTCCATGTTGGTTTCCAAGTTATCAGTTTGGGAACCAAGAGTTTCCTCTTGTTCAGGTCAGCTATTTCTGTGGGTTTCACCAGCCTGGTCTTGACCACTTTGCTTTTCACTCCCCCTTCTCTGCAACTGGATCCTAGTTCAGTTCAGTGTTTAGCTGTGGGAACATGGAAGTCAGTGAGGAGGCCTCAGGAATCTATGGGGCCTCTTGTAGTAGATTAGTAGTAATACCTAGCATAGGAATAGATTTTGGGAGCCCATTCCACATAGAGGGATACTCCATGAGCCTAGACGCAATGGGGTGGGCCTAGGCCCTATCCCAAACG